GGGGGAGCTGGAACTGATAGAACAGATAATTGGAGATGCAATGACTAGATTGCAGGACTTAAAAATACCAAGCATCGTTTGCATTGCTATTAGATGTATTTTCAAGCTATGACAACCAGCTGATCTGAGAAAAAATGTTAGCCAATCAGAATCGAGAAAATTTGCAAAACTGAATTGTCACCCTTGGTAGCCTGGCTTTCAAAATGGCGGACTTACGTGCTCGACGGGGAAAAGCTAAGTTTATTGTTTATTCTTCTTTGTCCTTGGGGTGATTTTCCCTTCGCTTTCTTTTCACGTTACCATTTTGAATACAAAAAAGTCAGTGACCTCGATACAGTCAAGACAAAAACACAGATAATATGAATAGATTTTTATGCATTTAATTAAATTTGGTACGGTAGACCGCTGGTCAGTCCTGTGGGCCCAAGAACAACTCAGTTTTGCAAATACGTCATCATGACGTCACATTTCAGATCAGCTGGAAAATAAAAGAAATCGCACAGTTTGTCTTTTATATGCTGTAAAATCCTTCGAAGTCAGATAACATACTGGGACGGCAGAGTAGTTTTAAATTTGCGCAAATGGCTATCGTTTCTCATTGAGCTAAAGGTCCGCAGGCCTCCCCCCTCCTCCGCAGTACCTTCTCCGCCGTCCGTGACATTATTTCCTTTTTTCATGTTTTATAAATGTCATTCAAGCGCATTTTCTTTGAAACATGCTTATTCATTCTATTTATTATCATGATTATTATTATTATTATTGTTATTATTAATATTATTATTTTTATAGTATTGTTGCTGTTGTTCACATTGGCACAATGCTCAAATTTTGTTCGAAGTTTTTCAAACAAAATTCCTTTTCTTCTTTTACTCAGGTCAAGTATTTATGAGTCGCAAAGTGCCTGATGAGCCTAAGAAGTGAGCGAGGTTCGAAAAAAGTCTTGACTCCTAGTTTTGCTTTGTGATCTGCAGAAGTCATAGCCTGTCTATTCATATTGTAGTGACCTCAATATAAACACCTTTATGTATAAATTTATACTGTAATCATATATCATTATCATCTCATTATATGATTCATATTATCATCATAATTACCAGTGCAAAACAACTGTCAGCAAGTTAAAAATTGTACAGGAGGCTTTTTAATATTGCAACTTTTAATATAGCTTTATCAGATAAGATGCCGGACCAAAACAACTAAATAAATAAAAGAACAGATAGTGCAATTTCGAAAAATTAATTAACTTTGTTGATGCGTCACGACTATAAATACTTTGAGCTTCCTTTGTTGTTTTAATTTTTACTGTCGGGTTGTTGATTGGTTTTTGAGTAACAGCCATGTGGTCTGTTTTGTTTTTGTTTGTGACTCAAAGGCCTACTCTAAACAAAGCCTTTTTTTAGTGAAAAGCGAAAGGCCACTAAAAGAGTGCCACATATGGAAGATGTGACATTCTTCACGAAATATGATTTCATTTACTTGTAAAGAATATGCTAAGCCAAAACATATTTCAGTAGGGTCAAATATGCTTTATATCAGAACTAATTGATCTCAGAGTTTAACAGCCCAAGTCTCACTGGTGGAATTGATGGGAAACCTGATTGACAGAATGACTTTCGCTTTCTAAAAATAAATAAAAATAAATCATATTTTAATCAGTCAAAAGAACAGTTTTCAATTAGTACATTAGCCCAAAAGAGTTTTTCCGGTCAAAGGGTCCGTTTTTGAAGTACAACCCCATCCATGCAATTGCGACATAGAGAATTAGCCAAATGGATATACGTCTAAAAGCTCGCATTCACGAAAAACCGCGGTTTATAATGTTTCACTGCTTTCCTATGCACAGAGGCGAAAATCCTCCTTCTATCTTATTTCTTGGGATTTAAGCGAGATTATGCTCTTATCAGACCAATGTTATTTCGATTCTTTTCAGTAAAGCCATATGTCCGTCGATAGTTTTGTGTCTCCTAGCCAGAATAAACAAATCTGATAAGTTCTTTTGTTGACACACATTACGACATGTCAATTCGCGGGTTTCAAATGTGTTTCTGCCTCACCACAAAACAATTGCACAATAATATTGAACAGAACTAAAAACTGAAAAGAAATAGACAGGGATTCTGACAGTTAATGAACGAGGAGTGCATTAAAAAGTTAAGAGGGATGGAATTTCACGATATGGAAATTCTCGTTCATCTCGTATTCAAACCACGTGTGAATGTAATTGTCAAGGTTTTTTCCCGTCAACGTGCTCCAAACAGTTTTCAGCTGCATTTCTTGAAAGAAAACAGTCATTTACATGTTTGCTAAAATCCAATCCCAGACCATACAATATTTAGAATGCCGACCAATCAAATCGTGCGTCAACAGATAGCACGTCTCACAACTGACATCCATTTCATTTCCATGGTTGATTTTGTCTGGTTGTCAACTTGGGAGAATTGCTAGGTTGATATGACAAAGCACCCTGACTCGGACACAACAGGGGCGATTTATCGGTGATAAAAATTACACACTTTGAAAAATGCATTAATTACAACCTGGTCAATTTCAATCAGTTGCTTTTTACTACTGAATGACTGGAAAAAAACAAAAACACTGCCAACGAGGCATTTGTTTTTCTCCCCCAGTGTATTTATGTTTAGAGGAAGATGAAAAGAGATTGGCGTGGGAGTGGCCTTTGTTCGGCGCCTGTGTTTATTTTTGTTTTTATTTACAGGTGCCAATAACGTGACGTCACAGGGCAAAGTGAGGCTTTCTCATATTGTTTGGTTGCAGAGCAAGAGGCATCAACAACGGCGGTCAAATTATTTAGCCCAAAGACTACCATTTATTACTGGCTACGCTTACGGCAGATCTGGAAACTTTTATATAACTTAACTATTGGACTTTAAGGAAGATTTTAATCTTGATCAGAGGACAACTTGTCAACAGAGCATCAAGCTATGGCCCTTTCATTCATTCAAGGACGAAGAGAACATTTTTAGAACTTTCAGGTAATGTGCTCACTAGTCAACATTTTCGACCGCGCAAATGCTAACTTATATCCTACCAATCCTGCAAATATTATCAATGAGTATAGGCTATTAATGTCTTCAGGCATTTCTCTAGTTATTTCTGATTTCAAATAGGGCTTTGGTGGTTTTTACGACTGGTGTTTTATGGGGAAAGAAGATTGGTGTTGTTATTTGTTGTTTACCAGAACACGTTTCACATTGTTGTTATTTATGGCGTCGCGCTCTGAAAAGAAGCGACTTTCTCGCGTCAGAATTCCATTTTCATGAAAGAAACTATACCTTAGAAAGTGCAGTAATGTAGTCAGTTAAGTTGTTATTTATTATCAGTAACTTTTATTGGGAAATACTCCGTTCAAGGAAACACTTTCTGAGCATTATTTATTCGGTGGCAAATGTATTCACATAATCCATATGGCCGAGCGGCGTCGTGTTGGGAAGGAAACTGACAAATTTTCTCTTGGAGAAAATCCGTTATTTCCCCCCTTTTTGATGACGATTATTAGTGACTACATGGAGAACAATAAAGCATGATTTTACGGGACGAAATATCAGATCTTATGCGTTAAATGGGTCATAGTTCGTACGGCGTACAAAATTTAATTTCTTTCCCTCGCCATATACTCGTTCGCATGCGAGACTGTTCAGTCCTTGATGTTTAAACCCTCGTAAAATAAGAAATACATCTAATTTTCTTGTTCCAGACAGATGTAGTCTGAAGCTAGAAGCAGTCCACGACAATCAAAGGAAAGGAAGGACGCTATTGAGGAAGGTCTTTTGTGTTCGGTAATCACAACCAACCAATCCAACCATGTCAACAGGCAGCACTGAGGACAACAACGCAGGATCGGTTTCATTGTCTGCTTCTAGAACATCAAATGTAAGGACGCATTGTTTGATCGAATATTCCCCACTGTTACAATTATCTTCCAGTGGGACTACTAGTACGTAGGTAGTTCTCACTAGCAGTATATGTAGTGTAGTACATCTACTCGAGCTCATCCCCTCGAACACTGTTTGCTATTTTTATAAAATTCGATTTCTTTTAAATCAGAATAGTCGCGGACTATAGATCACATTGGTTGAAAGTTATTTTGCGTTTTCCGTGTTATGTTTGGTCATTGTTTTCCTCGGAACAAGTTTGTCGATTTCAGCTGTTACACGTCTAGTCTCGTGGTGGTCCGATGAAGACAGTACGTGTATGTGATTGTACGTCTCCTCCCCCCTTGTAATGTGATTTCCGTGCAATRGAGAGGAAGCGCGCTCAGACTTTAGGACATCTTCTTCCTTTCCATTTTTATTCATCTTGTTTTCAACTCTCACAGGTGTAGTACTTAGGGCAATGTTATTTTCTTAATTTTTAGCTGCTGCCTATATTTTCTATTTCCTTTTTGAGATATTAATGTTGTATTCTTGGTCACCATGCATTGATAATACTTCATCAATGAATGCACGTTTTAAGTGTATGCATATAGCATGTGTTTTCTTAATTCCAATTATTTGATAGATAAGAGGATACTTGCAATACGTGTTCATATTTCAAACTTTTTTTCATGGTCTTATTCATTCAATTTATTTGTTTTGTATACATTTTAGATCCATACTTTTGCAGACTAATCGAAATTATAGAACAACAATAGTTTATTATTTTTTTGCCTTTTCTGTTATATTTTGTCTAGTCTCTAGTCATTTTTCCTTGAGTTACTGTAGGCATATAAAGGCTTTGACAGGTTTCAAAATTGTGACAGATCATGCATTTGAAATCAGGTATCAATAACATTTGGACTCTAACATCCAAAATATATTTGYAAGTGAAACTATTGCTGCCTTTTTTCAGTAGAATTATTATTATTATTCTTTTATTTCATTTCCTGATGTGCATAAATTCCACGCAAATAAAACTGTGTAAAATGTAGCTTAAATTCAATGCAAATGCATAATAAAAGATAAGATGTATTGACTTTATTGTGATATCCATTTGGATATGACTGGACACAATTTTTTCTTTTGCTTTTCTTTTTTTGGAATTCCAGCAGAGGAGGTTTTATATCAGAAAATAAGATCATAATGACATTTACCTACTAAATCTCATATGTTTTAAAATGCTGCCATTTAAATCAAAAAATATGCATCAGTCTTGAATACTTTGTGTTTACACATCCGTGAATTGTCAGGCTATATTCCTTCCAGTGTTAGGATGGTTTAATACATTTTTCTGACGTGAATGATTTTGTGAATGGATCTCTATGTGACATGCATGCTTTAAATTTGATAAGAGATATGTCACATTATGGTATTAGAAATTACATTTTATTGTCAATGTTCACATCTAGACTATAGTAAAAGTATAAATTGGTATAGCAACTGGCATTATGTCTCATGAGTATGCTTTAAAGGTCATTCATATCAAATTTCTGTATTATATATAATATTCATAAAATGTCTGATTTCTTTTAAAGGATGCAGTCGCTGTTCATTGTATCAACTATATTCAAGCACTAAAAGTTTGTTTATTTCTTGATTTTTTGAACTATTTTATTTAAAACATATAATTTTATTGCTCCAGTCTAAATATTACAGTATTACTAATGTTTGTCCCTTTCAATAAAATGCATCATATTATACATAGGACACCTGCTAGATTGTGAAACATAAAATTTTGTTTACCTTAAGATCGGTAAACAAAGAAGGTTCTAGAGCTAGCCCTCTGACTGTTAAGAATAGTGATAATGGCATTAATATTCATAAACATTCATGATATTATGTACATATAGTTAATTCAGAAGTAGTGCATCTTCATTTCTTATTTATACATCATGGGGCCTCCTTACTCTTGCTGTATGTATAATAATAAACATATTCCTTTTGGCTATCTATGTTTTTATTACTACCAGATGTAAACAAGTCTATAAAACTGCAACTGCATACTATCAACCAGAATCTGTGGTGTCATGCATATATAATGTCTAATATAATATTCAAGCTAACAGTCTTTAATCGCTGCACACAATTTGAATTAGATTCAGTGTCACAATTGTGTATACTAGGTTACATGTTACATGATGAAGATGCGGTCTAAAGTATCAAATGTATTTCTGAGTATTACTCATAATTCTGAATGATAATATGTAAATCAAAGATTATTTTTCTTTTTGTAGGTCTGACATTACAGTATGATTTGTGCTATATTCAAATTATTTATTGATCTGCCCCAAATTGATCCATTCCCATCGAAATGTATTGTTATGCAGAGTCTTACATTTTTACATCATCCACCACAGATTCCTATTATGTTACAGCAGCACTAAAAGGTTTATTCAATATATTTTATTTCAATTATGGTACATATCGTACTGTAGTATTGTTATACTGTTGTCTTATAAGTCAGACTATGGTAGCCTTATTTATTTATTTAATCTTGTATACTTTCTTCTTTTTTTTCTTTTTCTATTTCTTTTTTTCTATTTTTTTTCATTTATATTGTTAAGCAATTGCAAAATAATAGGATTAGTCTGAATAGAAACATTTACCTATTACATTTACATTGCAGTTAAATACATGTATGATTATTGTTTACACCTGCTTACGGCATAGAAATACATCATGCTGATGGTGTATGGCAGAGGTATCCTATAAAACCACTCTGTTTGTAAATATAAAAAGTTCTTTTGCATAAGATTTATTCAAAGAATGTTCCAGAATAGCAACTTCATGTACCTTCCTCAACACAAAGGGCATATCATAAAACTTTGATGTTTCATAAATCTGAAAACATATTCTTTCATTGATGTTTTTTGTGGAACAATTTTGCATGGATATCAACTACTTTGTCATGATAAGTTTAGTTTATAAAATTGTATGTGCAGTGTAGTTGGGAATGTTTGCAACAGATGTTTGTAGTACAACTCAGAATTTTCTTAAATATTGCAGCCAATTTAAGTAACAATGCGCGTAAATAAGAACTAGGGAGCTCTCTATTGTTGTGCGGCATAGCAAGTTCCCCATGTACGAATGTCTTGGTTTTCACACTGATTATGTATCCATTTGTGGGTAACACATTTTTGAAATAAAATGTGGATAAACTCTATTTTGAAACAAAGTTTCTTTTGTATTAAAAGCTCTTATCCAATCAAAAGCACTCAAAACAATAGCTAAAAGATGCTTCTAATTTGCAATGTTCCCCACATAGAATTGCCTTAATATTGAAGCTAAAGAAAGCTTTCATGAAAGCGAAAAACGACATTAAATATAATATTAGAAAATTCGCTAACTTGGGAAATTATAGCAGATTTTCATGTTTTAACCAATGGGATGGATGGATTATACAATGCGCAATTAGCACCTTCTTGCATTCCTGTGCCGTTTGCTTCCCTACATTTAGTTCTTACTCGGGACATTACTTAAGCATAATATACATTTTTATGATCGTTGTGGTGACATGTATGACTTGTAGCTTTAGCTGATATTTGAAACCTTTTCTTAAACATTATATGCTATTAGATGTAATTGGATTGCTCACAATAGGAATATATTTCATTTGTTAGGATGATTAAAACAGGGCATATGAAATCTGAATACCCAACAACTGATTTGATCTGTTGCAATGCTGCTATTGCTAAATAGCTTTAGCAATTGCATGCAGTTCCACTAGTGTTTTCATTTGATAGAAGAATACATTAATGACCAAATGGTAAATTGTGAATGGATAAAGTACAATATGTACATACTGGATGTGCAGCTTAACACTAGTCATTCTAATTAATTTTAACTCAACAGGCTTCAATCAAACCTAGCATTGCATCTCTTAAGCAGACTAACTCCACAGCAAAAACACCGGAGATGTGTAATTCAAAAGGCCCAGGACAAACTAATGGCACAAAAAATGGAAAAGCCTGCAGAGAAACATGTTGTTGCCCGCATGATGAACATTTGCCTGGAGTAGTTTACCAACATGTTCCAGGAACTCCAAATGGCATAGGAATGGATACTAGCATGACAGATCATGTCATCCAGGAAACTAAAGGTTCTAAGACAAAGCAGCACAATGGTGGTGGGCATTTTTGTTCCTCGTGCCCCCCAGGACCACATACCCACCATGTGTACTCACCACAGAGCTTTGTTGAACATGGTCACTGTGGATGTCAGCCAGGCTATATTGATGGACATCACCACTATGCTCACCACATACAGGGTCAAGGTGGTCGACCAGTTGCAGTAGTGGCTCATCCCCCTCCTCTTTTACTTAGACCAATCCAGCCTCAGCACCTTCAACAGCATCAGGTAAAAATCAAGAACTGTTTAAAATACATGTAGTAAATACAATAAAAATCAGTACATAAGCTGGATGTCTGCAGTCCACATATTTACAAATTTTTTAAGCAATGATCATACTTTTTTGGATGATTGCTTACAGCATCTTTAAACTTCTTACAATTAGTATACATTGTAACGTCTGTAAGTAGTTGAAAAAAAATATTATTTATAATGTATAGAATTAAGCTTATTTCAGAAATTTTGAATGCTGGAAATAGTGTATTGCAAGACCGCAATGCACTGCTGGTCATTGTATCACCCCTAAAAAGGAGTTTTTATGTGGCTTCAGACTGACTTTTCAATGAAAAGCAAATAAGTTGAGAATTGTCATTTTGTAGCACAGCGAAGGTGGAGCTTTATAGGCAACAACTCATCAATGTCTTGAAATGCTCTATGCAGAGTACATATTGTTCGTGTTTCCGAAGTACACTGCAAGCAGAGGAATTGAAATTGGGTATTTCCAAAGGGACGGGATGTAATTGTGTCTCATGCACTGTATGTCACTAAAATAAAAATAGAAATGCCAGTGTATGTGATATACAAAGAGTTCTTGTGTATTAGGAATTGTTCAAGTTTGAAGACTGGGGGTAACAGAATTTTTTTTGTAATTTTATTTGAATCACAGTTTAGCAATCAAGTTACTGATGACACTGTGACTTTTCTCTTCTTTTTTACTCTTTTTTTGTAAAGGCTATCCTAGAGCAAGAACTCAGACCATATTTTGATGGCAAATGGAAAGGTCTCGCAGAATCTCAAGGCCCTTCATTTGGTAAATACTTTGAACACATTAAATTTTGGCGAGTGATTATCTAGGAAATGATGTTTAGTTTCAAATATATAAATTTCCAAACATACATTTCCTAGTACTATTTTTTAGTTGTTTATGGTTTCTTGACACTTTTTTTCTAGGGCGATCAGGAAATTCTCAAGACCCATCAAATCCTACCACAACTTCAGTGTAAGTACTGGATTTTTTTCATGAACTTTTCAACAATTAATTTTAAAAAACTTAACAATGTATGTGACTCATGATGTGCTATATAATGATACTGTGGATTTATTAAAAAATATTGTTTGTTTTTCTTCTGTCTGTATTTGATTAACGTCATGCAGCATCATGCATTTTTATTAATTTTATTTTCAATAATATTTATTACATCTAGTATTACATCATTATACTTTGAAAAGGTTGAAAATTCAAATTCTTACACTTAAGCTACTAAAAATTATAATTGATAAATATTATTTTGGACTTTTCATTCAATGAAATTCTGTTGGGATATTTCAATTTTAAAATATACACTGTATTATATGCAAATTCTGACTTCAATGTTGTCCTTGTCTTTTTAACTGAACAATCTGCATATGGCATGTAAACACCAAAGACTGACAGATGAAGCCTAAATATGACAATCTATCATACTTTGTGGGGGACTTTCCATTTCTTATCAGAAAAAAGTTCTTTATTTTAATGTGACAGAAATTTTGAACTTGTAATAAGTCAAAAGTGCTTGTCAGTTTATGGCATTTCAATCTAAAACAGATAAGCTTTCTTTTAATTATTGATGTTTTTTTTTTTTATTTTTCTCTTTCAGAAGCCAAGGGTTTGTAGGAGAAGGTCAAACAAGTGAGTGTCATGCATGTAGAAAAATCTATGTGCTATAATTTTTAATTTGATTGCATTGCTTTCATTTAAAAATGTGCTGTCTTTTGTTAAACTTTTCAATTCAACTACAACAAGCGAAGGGAAATTATTCCATTCATATATTACAATTTGAACAAGAGAATTTGAGAATTTATTTTAAATTTGAGAATTTTAGTTATTCTAGACTAAAAGTGCTCTCTGCAATGATCAATCATTATTGAATAATTCATGGCAATGCTTGGGTTCAGTTTGGTCGGTGTAAACTACATGTAGGTGACTGTGTGTCATTCCATTACCCAGTTATTGTAAAATCCACTCATTTGTGATATAATACTTTCATTCAATCATCTATTCATTTATATATCCATTAATTCAAAATCTTCCACACAGCATGGATGATAAGATCTTCCATTCAGTCAATGAAGCATAAAATCATTCCTTTTCTTATCATTTGATGCTTGACATTGATATTAAATTAAGATACAAATCAGACGTCATTATCAATGCATTTAGTCAGCTGGAATGTATGTGAGACAGACAGATTTCTTACAATTGAACAAAATTTTTTAAAATATGAAAAACATGCAACATGCATAAAGTCAAGGCTAATTATGTCATCTCAAATAAATGGGAATATGGCCAAATCATGACCATTCATTCCACTTTTTTTATAAACTTGGAAAAGGAGCTTTATTTTTTTAATTATTTTTCGTTTAGACTACAAATTATTATTTTAATATGATTCAGTATATTATAATTGAATTTTGTAAACCAAACTGCTCAATTTACTAACCAGCCAATCAGAAACGAGAAAAATGATATCTCAWTAACTTCGCGCCAAAAGCGAATTGGCCAACAATATCTTTTCTTCTGATTTTTTAAACTTCTAAAATTCACAAATTACTCCAAGCTCGACAAAAATCACAGCACGTTGCACTTCCAGTTACCAAGCATTATTTTGTTGTTGTTGTTGTTGCTATTCTCTTAACACCTTGAGAAATAGAATGCATTCGAGATAATTCAATGAGCGAGTTTAGGGCGAAGATCGGACCAGCTTTGCAAAGTCTCAAAGATGGCGAAAATACCAACTTAACCACACAAAAGACCTTTTTATAAGCTTATCACACTTTGAAACTTATATAGAAGCTCAAGCAAACAAAGTTTTATTTGAGTTCTAGAACTATATGAAAGAGATGTTAAATAAGGTTTAAAGAAGGTTTCTCTAAACTTAAATTGCTCTTTCGTGAGTTCAACTGTAGATAGTCTTTTCAGTCCTAAATGAGACCTGTAAACATTAAAATAAGTTCACATTTTCAGATTGCGATAAGTTTTTTTACACTTTTGTGAATCTAAATCCATTCTTTAAAATCAAATTATGTTTTCAAAGAAATAACAAGACTATGACTTTCAAACTTTATGTTTCAACATAGCTTTGATTATTCGTCTTCGAAAGCACATAACATGCCGAATGTCGCATATAAGCTTAAGCTTAATTTTTTCACTTCAAAATTATTCTGCAAATCGATAGTTTCACATTTTTTATTGTATGCTATTATACTTACATTAAGTAGCGTCAGTATACCAAAATATAACAATTTTGAAGTTACTTTGGCTCAATTTTCCAATTAAAGCAAAGGAAAGCACACCGGCTAGTGCTCGAAAGCTTGCTGCACTTGGCGCGTTTGCACAGTTGTGAAACTGGAATGCACAACAGGTTTCAACAGGTGCAAATGCGCGCGCGCGTGTTGTAAATGGCGGGAAAAATTTGCATAAAATGGCGGGAAAAAATTATACAATCACAATATGCGGCGATATATAAATTAAGGTCTTCTTTATTTTTATATTTTAGTTCAAAGGCATCCATTACTTGTTTACAACGTGTGTCAGTGGCCTGGTTGTGAAGCCTATTGTGAAAGTTTCCAACAGTTTTTGCAGTAAGTACAGGCATTGCTGTACTCGATATCCAGTATTACAACTGGAAAATGATTATATAGAATGTTTGTTTGATTTTTTCACTTAAACTTCTATTCTTAAAATTGCCCCAAAGCAATCGCAGTCGCTCTTTTATGTCAAGCGTCCTGAATCCTGCGCACTGTTTCTCATTCATTTTGATATTCATGATACTGTATAAATTCATGATTTCCAGTACCTTAACCCCGAGGCCACAAATTTTTAAAGACACTGAAGTTCGAATAAGTATTCATTGATCTACCATATTTACAGTCACCTAGATAATGATCACGCGCTGGATGAGCGTAGTACAGCCCAGGCTAGAGTTCAGATGCAGGTTGTTCAACACTGGGAGTCTGAGGTATGATTTCCCGTTTACCATTCCACCACGCTGTAGAATTTTAGGGTCGTCATAAGTATTTTAGAAATTGAACCGCACCGATCCATCACAATACTGAAATCTGGTGTTGAACGAAAATATGTCTTTTCAGCTAAATAAAGAAAGAGAGAGACTAAGTGCCATGATGAGTCACCTACATATGCCAAAGGTAGGCATCTTTTATGCACTCAGCTCGCTTCATGATCATAAAATGAAAAAGTCAATGTAAACACTACAAAATGACGGAAGTGTATAAAGCTTAGCGTCGCTTAAGAAATACTGTGTATATACTTAGATAATAATTTCGCCAACTGATTATTTTTTATGGTAGCCTAACTGACTTCCGTGTTTTCGAGTTGATTCAGTAAAAAATGCTAAGCGAATTTTTTTTCGTGATATCTGTTGTGAATTTAATTGTGCATTTGTCAATCTGTCTAAATTGGACTTTCTTTTAGGCGCAAGTTATATCTCCTGGACCTGACGGAGAACGCGGAACAACTCATTCCCACTCACAAATCTCTGTACATGCACAGCCGTCTTCCCAAGAGTCTTCTCGATCTCCTTCGTCGTCCCCTTCGAATGCAGCGAACGAAAATGCAGATACAGAGTCATCGATGCCCAACGATATTAGAGCACGAAAAATTGTTATAACTCCACCGCCAAACATTAGTGTGCATGATATTAGTACCACTTCCGAGGTAACAACAATTGCAGCGATGCCAGTGATACACATGCCAGCTCAAATTCATGAAGATATGAAACCTATGATGCGTCATCGCCTTGAGGAGAAAATTCCCAAAAGGCGAAGTTTGGATCCCGATGGAATTTCCCTTGGTAATAAGACTTGTGTTCATGGATTTTATCTTGCTGAATGCTTTGTTGTGATTTTCTTCTTTTTTCTTCGCATAATAATGCTACCTTTTTTTGCACTTTAGTGGCGTCTTATTTTGGTGTCTCATTCAAGAGGCGTTTCCTTTATATAGTTATGTTTTGTTTTGCATGCTCTTGTTTGCTTTGTTKTCCTTTCATCATTCTTTGGTTGTTTTGATGTGCTTCAATTTGTTATGATCCATTTTGTGTGTCTCCAGTTTGTTTGTCTTTATTTTTATTTATAATTTTTATATTTTTTACTTTTCTTTGTTTGTTTTCTTTTTAACTTTATGCTTTTTTGTTTCATTTTTGTTGTTGTTGTTGTTGCTGTTGTTGTTTCTTGCTTTTATCATATTGTTATTTTGACATATTTTAATAACTACTTTAGACCCTCTTAATTGGGTTATCATCTGCGCCAGGAGATGCATTTAACCGTAACATTTCCTGCTTGATCTCTGTTGATGTTTTTCAATATTCTGATTTTCAGACATTCAGAGGTCAGCTGACTTCTATCAAAAAGCGGATGTGCGTCCACCATTTACCTACGCCTCACTGATAAGACAGGTAATACACAGACGTAAATATAGAAGAAGGTGGGGTGAGATGCATGTTCCCACACTTTTTTGATATTCTCCTCTTCTCCCGTCTTCACTTTGTCAGGATTTGAATGTTTTTTTTTTCTATACAACTCAAATCCCAGACCCCCCACTTTTAATTTAACTTAGTTCACGACTCTGCCCTTGCGACAGTGGATCGAAGGACACCAGGCTTTCGTTATGCTTTACTGACGTCGTGTCCATAAGAGCAAAATGATTCCTATCATTAACGTAATCTAATTTGCATTCAATATATAGTGATAAAATAAGGTAAATACTATATAGCGATATTAAAAGCAAGCTAATGTGTTGACGGAAGTGTACTTAAGATAGTTCGCGGGGGAGTTTTTTTGAATGGAGTTTCACTTTGCTGTGTCGTTATTTAACAAGCAAATGAACAAGAAAAGCAAAAATAATCAAASACGTCGTATCCGTTGCACGATATGATTACATTGCTGATCGATGTATTCAGATCTAATTTAATTTGAAACACGCCTAACAGTTTGTCAACGAGAGGTTTCCAGTCTGTGACACTAATTAAATAGAGTTAGGTTCTACTGAATCAGAGTGAAGTCATTAAACCCGTGAACCAAAATTTGACCGATTAAATTTTGATACGTTAAAATCTATTTCACAGTTTTAGAATAAAGTCAACGGGTGAAACTAAATTTCAATAACTATTAAAGTTGATTGATTTTAATTATATAATATATATATTTTCTTGTCTGATCCTATAAATCATAATTTATGGTATTTTTAAAAAGGTTTTTTCTACTCTTTTAACTTTAAAAAGTAGATTGTGTTTTTCACGCGTCTTTTCCCACTGAAATAAAAGGCACAGTTTTAATGTGATAACGTTCTGATAATAAGCCAAGTCACCGAAGTAACACAATACATCACAATATAGCGATTGAAAAGAGAGCAACGAGCTAAATGATTATTCTCGTATTTACCTTATGAATATTCAGTTTTATCCCGACGTACGCATCAATTTCGAGTCATGCTGAGCTTATTAACGATCTAACTTGTTATGATACCAACTGATCGTAATTAAAGCTATACAATACCTAACCGTTGGTGATTATCTGTCAAGCACTCAGAAATCTCACCCCCGTCGATCTATTAACTCTTCTAAAAGGATATTTCATCCATTTAACAAAACACGTGTTATTTAGTATGCCTGAAACACGTGTAGGTAATAATTAGCAGTATATCTGTGTGCACGACTTCCGTCCTCGTCGTAAAGTAGCATGCAGAGTGGATATAACGATCTTGGACCAACTTGGTCCAAAAGTAAATATCTCTGCAGACGGAGTATGCACCTGCTTCTCCACTGAAAAGAGCATGGGATAACCATATACAGCAAAACGACAAAGCATTAGATTTCCGCCCTCATCCCCTTCAGTCCGCTATTTGTTCTCCATTTTCCCCAGAATCCTGGTGTGAAATATAGTTTGTGTGTCTACTATTATCGGTCAACCCTGTAAGTCTAACAGATTTTTTTTCTATTGCCCAGGCAATATTAGACTCTCCCGACCAACAACTTACTTTGAACGAGATTTATTCGTGGTTTACAAGAACATTTCAGTATTTCAGAAGAAATGCTGCAACATGGAAGGTAGGCTCGCTTGTTGACTAAATAAAGAATACACTGGAACGCGCTTAATTAGCGAGTTAAAGTTTTGTACTGGCTCACATTCTAATGAGACACTGAGCGGCAGAATGAGGTTAGAAAGCTTATAAGAGCATGCGTATAGCTAAATCAGAGCCGTGCAAATGGTTGGCACTTATTAGAATATTATCATTGCTCTTTTTCTTGAATGCCTATATTATTTTCCTTTTTAAAAGACGCTCCCTGTCAGTTGTACGGGGACAGCATATCTAGCAAACTTATTTCTATTCTCTGCAATCGCTGCCACCAGAACGCCATGTCGTCRATTCTAATTAATGTACTTTGAACTTTAGAATGCAGTTCGACACAATCTGTCTCTTCATAAATGTTTCGTAAGAAAAGAAAACGTTAAAGGAGCTGTGTGGATGGTCGATGAAGACGAGTTTATGAAGAGAAGACCGCAATCAAAAGTCACTCAGAGTGCAGCGTAAGTTTGCACATTTTTTAATTCTATTTATGCCCGCAACCTGTTGAACTCGTACTCTAGTTTGTATTTTCCTCCTGTCGATCGAGTGGAAATGAGCGAAAACGTCCGATTTCTTTTGGGTTTGAGGGGGTCTATAAAGAAGTTTGATAACGTTCGCTCCTCTTTTTATGGGAGCAAAAACGTAAAGACAACTGACAACAACAAAAGACAACCACATGCAACAACAACTGATTTCGATTAACAGGGCGCGCTCCATATTCATAAGGAAATTGCAGTACCTTGGTTGATAAAATAAGAATTAGCTGAAATTGGAGAGCTATACTTCGATAGCATTAAGTTATGTGTGAATATCAGCAGTCGCATAAGATACAAAGATGTTAAATATCTCCCTGTCGTTGTAGAACCTTAAAACAAGAACGTGACCGCCTTCTCCAACTTCAAGCTCCTTCGTGTCTTGCTGGGCTTCCAACTCAAGTAAGTCTCGACGCAGTTGCAAACTCGCGTGAACAAAACAATGATGTAACTGACGAAGATTCCCAGCAAGAAGAAACACGAAAGAGAACTCGCGAGGATGACGGGGACGTTGAATCAACTCCGAAGAGACAAGTAATGCAAGAAGAAGAGACGGAAGGAGTTGGAGGAATTAGGAAGTTAGTTGAATTTTGCTCCAAAGATATCAAGTAAGATATCTTGAAGTTTTGCTAATACTGATTTCTTACTGCCGATTTTAGCATTACTAGTGAAACATGCAGAACTAGACGTAGCAAGTGATCGAAGTAGCAAGTGAAGAAAGCGGAAAGGAAAGCTTAACATTTCATTGCTTAATTTCACTTCCGCCTTTTCCTTTCCTTCTCCGCTAACTTCACTAGTGAAAAAAGACCATTATCAGTAATTGTAATATGACTGAACCTTCAATACTACTTGGCCATAACAACATTTTTTTTCTCAGATACAGATATATTCACATAACTGAACCACTTTTTCTTCGAAACGCTTCTGCGCTATAATTTAATTCATACTTTTTTTATTTTAAAGCAGCCAATTATCCCAATCAAATGTTCAAGTAAAACTTGAACCACAAGATGAAGACCAGGCGATGGTACTTAACAGTTGTCTTGAAAATGAAGGCCAAAATGATAGGGTTTCTCCAGATGGAGAGATTTCTATCGAGGCACGCGTCCTGTATGAACAGAATGGTTCTTTTGATGGTAAGGTAATTCAATAAGATGTATGTGTAGTAGCGATTACATATGACAAGATATGTTTTCAAAAATGCGTGAAAAATTATTTATCTTGTTTCGATTGCTTCATTTCTTTGTGTTTTCCTTTTTCTTTGTCTTATTTGGTGTCATATTTACTAAGAGAGTTTTAGCATCACGTTAACGGCAAACGGCTAACGGTAGAGCTGAATCAATGACCTAAGAATTTCGTGACTGACCTTGTGCTTTTGGTAGTCATTTGAAAGAGCGGCTTTTCACGATTATGGCAACCTCAAACTAACCCGCTCTCGCGTTGAAACTGCAATGTTAAACTCCAAAAAAGCATATCACGTGACCTTTTCTGCCGTTTGCCGTGAACGTCATGCTAAACCTCTCTATTAATAAATATTTAATGGTTAAGTGTGACAATGGACTGCGTCGACTATACGGCGGCTATTTTGGCAGGGAACGCATACGATTTCTTTTGTGGATTTGGCTTTAGTTACATGTAAGATTGAATTAACACCTGCAAATCAATGTTTTAAGTGGAGAATTAATACGATTGACAGGAAATTATTGTAATACACAAAGATTATATGATTCGAACTTTTTTGCTTTACTTCGACCCTTTGCGGCCTGCCATGCATTGAAATTTAAAATCCTATCGTATCACAAAAATGTCTGATCGATATTGTGGTATAGGTATTAATTTCACGCATTTTGATATTTATCTGTAAAAAAATTAAAAGTGACAATCAACCGCGGCATTCCAAAATGGCGGCCATATTGTTGAAGTTTTCATTTGTAAGAGCTTACGATCAGTATGATATAGAAATAAAGGAATGTTATAGTCTTTAGAAAGAGGTAATTCCTGGAGAAAGACATATGAAATAAATCCGGAAAAATTAATTTTTGACCTCGCTGGGTTAAATCTTTTGAACCCACGACCCTCGGGTTTGTACTGCCGATGCTCTACCAGCTGAGACCTTGTAGCTCAGCTGGTAGAGCTTCAGTAATACAATTCGAGGGTCGTGGGTTCGAATCCAAGCGAGGTCGGAAATTAATTTTTCCGACTTTATTTCAAAGGGTCTTCTTCCCGGAATAACCTCCTACTTAGCACTATAACTTTCCTTCATTTCTATAGCATGCTTCTCATAGAGCCATGCGGTCCTCATATTCATATTTACAATCGGTAGTTCATTTTACAACTGGAGCTTGAATAACACAGTGTTCTCAAAACTGACATGTATTCTTTATCCTTTTTAGGTAGACATGAGATCATAACGCCAGTGGTACAAACTTGATTGGCTGAGAAAAAATGTTTATCTTGGTAGAAAATAAAGTTCGACGCCGCGTAGAGGTATTGAGCGTGCCACACAGGAGTCCTAGTCGTAATCGTCCAATCGGAAAAGTTCGTCGATTGTAAAACGCCCGTGTGTTTGCGCATGCGTAAGATATAGATAGATCGTATGTTTTGAATTTGAAAAGATTTTTAGGGGGATACAAAAATATAGGCTACTCCTAAAGGGGGTATAAAGAAGAAGAAGAAAAAAGAGGTTCAGTAGATGTTCAGACACACCACTGATGTTTCCTTCACTATCAAATATAAGGAAAGTCTTTAATCAAAACTAGATTTTAGTTTGTGTCCTTCAGAATATATTAATAATCATTTGATATACCGACTAGTATGTACAACTGCATGCTTGCTAAAGTTTTGTTATAAGTGGATATGATATATTAACTTATTAAGATTCAGCTGCAGCCATTTCGAAAGAGTAARCTTACATAGAGTGCGACATCTAGCACTATATTGGGGTAATCAACGCTGATAAATGAATTGGATTTGGTTTTGATTAACTCTTGAAACACACCATAGCGTACTACTCTTTATTATTCTGTATTTCTTCATATGTTCGGTATATCACACGCTATTGCACTTTGTTTCACTGGATTAAGAAAACCACTATGCGCATTTTCAGTTTCTTTACTATATTAGTTTTAGATGTTGGAGTCCTTGCACTTAACCCGTGAAATAGCTTTTAGACTTCTTGTTAGTAGCCGACCTTACTATTATTCACGTTCAAACAGTTAATATTTGAAGGTTTAAGTGCAATAACTCTGAGCATACTAAGGAGACCGGGGACGTATTCCGAGGTGGGTTGTAACCTGATCGCCTTAACTTTTGCTCAGTATTTTCAATATTGCTTTACACTCAGGATCATGGCCGCCATATTGGATTCATCCTCCGAATGGCGGCGGTAGCTTAAATCTCTTTATTTCATTAAGTTTTGGGAATCCTAATTACGTATAAGAAGAATTTGTTGTKTTTTGTTGTTTTTTTTTTGTATAACGCCGTTAAGCAATGACGACAGATAAATCAATATTCTGTCTCCTTTATGAAGTTTCCAGTGTATGTTGCCTATTCTGGATGCTCCCTGGCTCTATCTTGTCTCTTATATCAAGTGCTTGTCGAATGTCTATTGAGTCATAACTTATCCACTATAAAATCGACTACAACAATGTAGTAATGTTAACGTAGACTGATTATATTAACCCGTCGGTAAAGTGTCTATATAGACGTTCTTAGATGCAATTTTGGTTGGCTTTGACTGCATTAAATGCCTGTGACTTATGACAGCAGTGTGTTTCAACCAACATTGAGAAGTTTTGAACTTTAACAGAGTCAGGAGGATAAAACTTATTTTGTTATCTGAGTTTCATGTCTCCATGCGGGATAATTTGCATGAGACTTGTCAGTACCAGACCTCACGGTATTATTATTATTATAATTTTTCTTTTTTTTTTTCTCCTGTCTCCTTAAAAAATCYAGAATGCTTTGTATTCCGAATCCAATATGGAATCCAGAATCCTTGTGAATGTTTTTATAAATTCCGGAATCCAGGAGGTCGGAATCCAAAATCCAGGATCGGTCCGAATTCCATGTCATTTTTATCACGTAAGGGTTAATATAATCATTCTGCTTTGAGACTATTAAACATAAATATTATTTCCAAAGGATTTATGAGAGATTATACTATATCTAGATGTGTAATATAGTTTTCATCGTAGATAGATAGTTTTATAGAAGAATTGAAATCCCATAGTCTATTGTTCATGTAAAAAGTTTTGCGTCCAATCAAAAGTTATTATGATAGTAAAGTTCTTTTCATTATCTCTTCGCAGTGAAATTACTGAGGGTATATATGTTGTAAACCTGGTTGTATTTAAAACTTAAGAAATATAAAACGGCGCGCGTTTCTCTGTCCTTTGACATAAACACGATGGGAGTTCGAAAAACACGAGAGAAGCAAGCTTAGGAACACGAGTGTAGCGAGTGTTTCTCTTGCTTCTCGAGTGTTTTTCAACTCGCACCGTGTTTATATCAGAAGGCAGAGACACAAGCGGACGTTTTATATTTCTTTTATAAAATKTTTCGAGCGAAAAGAAAATTTTGCCGGTAAGCCGTGTCTCTGTCCTCTGATATAAACACGCTCGTCAGCCAATCAGAGCGCGCGTTATATATCAAAAATATAAAGCTGTATAAATAACAAATAAGAGTCCCATTTCTGCATGCGTCCGTACTCTACAATAGATTCACAGATGACATCAAAATGTGATGAAGATAAAAACGCAAAAAAAAGTACGAGACGGACGAAGTCGAACGGCTGGTTTGACTTATTCTCATTGCATTTTTGACCTCTTCTGTGCATCTATTAAGGCCGATTTAGACGACACAACTTTTGCTTTAAAACCATCGCACGCAACCTGCGTAAGTCAGCTTATAGCTACAAATGTTGTAGGGCTATCATGCAATTGTTTTAAAGCCCTACGACTGTTGTTGCTATTGTAAGGATGAGTTACGCAAGTTGCATGCGATGGTTGTAATCAAAAGTTGTGCCGTCTAATTACGTGGGCTTCCTGTGGAAGAACACGTCTAAAAAAGTGCTAGTGGACTTCTCTCCGTCGTGAATATTTGGCTTCAAATTGGTAGGGCCTGCGCTGCAGATGGTCTGCAGTCTAAGAATGAAAACACAATGGCCGAAAGACGGCGGAAAAAAGTTGTCTCGTTTTATATGGTTCTAAAATGTAGCTAAAATACTCTAAAGAGCTGAAAATCTAGAAAATCAACTGATTAACATCCAAACGACATGGAATAAGGTATATAATTCAAGATTGATTCGTGCAGAAATGACTGGGCATTTTCTACCGCCGACACGAAGAACACTACTTCGCCACAACAAGTGTTCGATGTCAATCACAAAATCTTCAAAAATAAGAAATCACATCCCATGGATATTTAAGGTTCATCGATCATTGGTTCATACTTTGACAAAAGAATAATTATTCGRTGGACTTAAGTAATGGTCCGAGTAAGAAGCAGGCAAGCAAACGGCAATGGAATGCATGAAGGTGCTAATTGTGTATTGTATAATCCATCCATCTCATTGGTTAAAACATTAAAATCTGACATAATTTCAAAACTAGTAATTGCATTTTTTAGTATTTTATTTAATATCTGATTCTAACTTCAAAAAAGCTTTCCTTAGCTTTAAATAATTCTATGTGGGGAACATAGCAAATTAGAAGCATATTTTGGCTATTGTTTTGAGTGCTTATGATTAGACAAGATCTTTTAATACAAAAGAAACTTTGTTTCAAAACAGAGTTTATCCACATGTTATATTAAAAGTTTTTTCCCCTAGGTTGATATATAATCAGTGTGAAAACCAAGACATTCGTATGTGGGGAAGTTGCAATTGCCGCAGAACAATAGAAGGTCGCCTGCTCTTTGCGCGCATTGTTACTTAAACATATCTCGTCTCCTTCGCAGCCTCTCCATTTGTCGGGCTTCCTGTCCCTTCCAAAAGAAGGTTTGATGTTGAAAACTGCACGTGTGTGCTTACTGAACTCTGTACAAAATCTATATTGTGTATGAAGCATTTTAATTCTWTAWTAAAATTTGTTTTGATGATTGTTTAACTTGAAAAACTTAGACAAATCCAAAAATATGAACTGTCATTATAAGGTACACCTGTTTGACGATGGCACAGAACACCAGATGTAACACCAAAATAAAAAGAAAAGAAACACAAGATCTTCAGTGCGCTTTCCATTTGTCAGAACTGGCTGGTCAGACCCAGAGAAAATGCCACTATATATCATTCCCATTTAGGAAATTCAAATTTTCAGATTCTATCCATTATTSTACAGARAACCTCGAAATGACTKWAAAATGTTGACAAAAAGCATTATATACCTCTAAATAGAGTGGACTGGCCGGCCAGTTCTAGCTAGTTCTGCCTAAATGGAAAGCATCCTTACATGATTCAAACGATCAAAATATTATTCAAAGTTATACGATACCGACAAAACTGCAAAGACTGTACCGTTTCTATTGTTTATATGACCTTTCAGATATCTTGCATATTTTGAATATCATAGACGCTCTTAGAGCGTAATGTCGAGCTAGTTATTTTGGAAAACTGAGAAAGACATGATATCTAAAAAAAGTTACTTAGAGTTCAGTTCTGTAAAAAAATATGATGTAATAAATAACTTACATTAACTTAATTCTGTCTTGACTTTTTACAAACAAAAACTGTATCGTGAAAATGAAATACCATTGTCGCAGCTACAGGAAGCCCACGTAAGCAATCCACGATCGTTTAGTTCAGCCTTTAAAGTACAGAAGCACGCGCCATCTAGCTTGCTCATTTCGTACACATTGATCAATCCCAAAAGCCATTGCGCCACAAGTTTTCCCGCGCGTCAAAAATTCTCATAAGGTTTTTCCCAAATTAAAATTATTTTCATCGGCGGAATGTTAATCAATAATTGCCCACGGCATCATTACGGCACACAAAAACATTCTATTGTTTTAACTAAGGCTGTCCACAAGATGCTCGGCAACTTTCGGGCAACTTTTCCGATTTGGAGCAACTTTTTCAAGTTGGAGCAACTTTTTCGATTTGGAGCAACTTTTCCTCTTTTTTCTTGTTTTTTAACAATTTTTGCTTTATTTTTTACTCAAAAATGAATTCATGTAAACAAGCAGGTCGAGTAAGAGCTGAGTTTTTGAGCTGTTTTTTTTAACTGTGCGCTTACTGATTTGTAATTTGCGTATGATATCATTACTGAAATAATGGTCTTCCTGTGGTATATGAGCTACGAATATGTTGGTCAGCGGTTGATAAATTTAAAGTTTATCGATCAAAACAAGATGGCTGCGCTATGGACGACGACGAGAGCACATGGTCGAGTGATTCGATTGATAGCATTGAACAAAGCCCGTTAACARTAGCCAGCAACCAAGAAGATCTTGTTAGTGCAGCCAAGTTCTGCATCGGCAGAGAGAGTATTCAGTTATCTACAGGCTGCTTTTAATAGGCAGCAAGATGCAGCATTAGAAGAAACAGTTGAAGCATCAGTTATGCTAAGATACAATGGCAACAAAAGATAAATAATATTTATTAATATTATCTTATGTTACTATTCAATCTTAGCATTACAGAATACAGATCTCAAAAATATCCCTTATGCTTGTATTGTTGATATTTGATAGCTTTTGTGAGGGGCACAATCAATCTTAAAATTAACTAGTATCCACAATATGTACATTTCAAATTATTGGTAATTAAAGTTGTGTTACTATTGAAATAATAAATATATAATCATGAAATAAACTGTACATATATGAAATTTTTTTGAGCAACTTTCGAGCAACTTTTGGATTTTGGAGCAACTTTTGAGCAACATTTTGCTTTTTTGAGCAACTTTTGAGCAACTTTTTAAGAAATTATGAGCAACTTTTTGGACTTTTTGGAGCATCTTGTGGACAACCCTATTTTTGAGCAACTTTTGAGCAACTTTTTAAGAAATTATGAGCAACTTTTTGGACTTTTTGGAGCATCTTGTGGACAGCCCTAGTTTTAACGCTAAGGATTAAGGTCACAATGGAGACAGAATCACTGCATATAAAAGAAAAAGTACATCTATTGATACATGTAGTATATCTAAAAGCTAGAATATTAAAAGAGAATATTCATTGATCCAAATTTCCACTGTTTCTCAGAACGCATTTGCACTGTATGAACTTGATATGATGTCCGGCAAGTGTGATATACGTACCACTTTCAAACAATATATGACCACGTTCAAACATTAAGACAATGGAATTATGAAGTGCTTTTTTGTAATCCTATGAAAAACACTATACACCAAATTGAAAAAAAACATCGTCGGGTTTCAAAAGGTTACACAATTAAAGCTAAAAGCTAATATTATTTGCAGAACAGGTATCAGTGTCAAAAGACCCGACCAGGGTCAAAAGATTGCCTCCACTGAACAAACTGAATTAGATGACTGTCTCTACGAGTAATTATATATATTGTACAACGTGTCGATGATATCACGTTTTGCGACCTGACATAAGGAGTATTTCCTTGTGTCTAGTGTGAATTTGGTTGGCATCAATACTCATATCACATCTTTTATATTATTTTCCTTTACGTGCAGGTAAGCCGTCATGCTTTTGCATAAAGTGAAAGTCATGGAGATTGCATTGGGATTAAAGTTCTGCTGCGATTAGAATTTTGCATATAGAGGCACGCCGTCTGATCGACCCACTGAATCGTTCGAAAATTCGTCTTCATGGTTCTATTTTCCTCAAGAGAATAGTAGCAAGGCAGAATGTGTGGACGATTATATGGACAACAGGGCTTAGGAATAGAGGTTTTTTTTCTCGGTCAAACCGATTGTCGTGATTGACGTGTTTGCGATGTGATCCATCAATCATGTTCGGTCAAGAAACTTTTCTTCATGGTCGAGCTGTTCTTTTCAAAAACTAAGTTCATGTTTAATGAACGCTCTTCAAGCTGCGCTGCACGCTGATTTCTCTCTTTGTGGAGGCAATAAGTAAAATGGTCACTCCAAACCTGATCTTATCGATTACTTGTGCAGTTTCCATGGGAATGTAGTACTGAATGATTTTGGTGCTTATCTCGGGATTTTATACCAAACTTCAAGGCACCTAACGTCCTAAGGTATTGTTGAATAACTATAGACACTAGTCTTCAATGTGTACATGTGAACATGTGCGAGTATGTACCAAGTCAAACAACACGCATTTTGTGTTCGTACTTGACAAGTATCTTTGATGTATCAGCGGAAATAATAGTATAAAGATGTATGTACTACGTTCGGAGTTAGAAACGTACAGACAGTATTCAGAGCAGTTTCAATATTGACAGTAGAACACATATACCGATCGGCCATTCTTATATGGCAATGTATGATATGTTGTTATATTGATGTGTCTATTATACTCGATGTTGAAGATATGATCTYACAGTGTGCTCACAGTCATAGACTGAAAAACCGTTTGTCCTACACTTGACCTAATACGTTTCTGTATACGTTTTTTTTTTTTTTTTGAGATTTTAATTTTGCGAGTTGCTTAATAATTCCAGCTAAAATAATCTGATACTTTTTGGGCAGACTTTTTAAGTAATCTAGTACAACGAAGATAGCTTTATTATGCACGGCAATCACCTTAAAATGGCGCAAGACCTCTGCAGATAATTTGGCGCCATGTTTAATTCAAAATTAGCATGCATCATATACTGGGGATTATTGCATTTATTACACACTCAAGTGAACGCTGAAGTAAACATAACTCACAGAGTCGCGTTTGGCCTGCAGTTTCGTACAGGATGCGGGAGAATTCAAAAAACGCAACATTCAAAAAACAGTTGAATCTCCCGAAAGAGGATATCTTGTGGGAAACGACATAAAATCAGTGCCGAAAATCATTACAGCAATCTTATAAATCAATATTTATTGTATGGCATTGTCTTGATATGTCTTGAATTCATTCAATTCAGGAACGATTTTTGCGTGGATCATGAACTACAGTGCCGACGAAATCCTTCTTCAAGAGGAGGATGSTACATTTTTACCTTCCCCTCAAGAACGGGACGTGGGAACAGATGCTGATATTATATTTCTCGAATCAATTAAAAAGAAGAACGAAGAGAGAAAGAAAGCTCTCACAACCATCTCCATGTCCTATGACAAACTCGGTTGTGACGGGAACCTTATACAAAATGGCCATGCCCAAAGTGAAAACAGAACAGAGGTAGGATATTCGTGCTCTTCGGCCCTATGTTCTTTTACGGGGGAGGTGATACGGATTGTTTATAGTTAAGGCAAGAGGGGCTATATCCCTATATTTGCTGGTAGAGAACAAGATAGGAGATAGATTCGAAGGGAGGTCGTTGACGAGGGTGGAGGAAATGAGGAACAGAGACATTTCGGCCAACAGGCCATGACTGATGAAAATGCCACAAGATCTAATGCATGTGATATTGATTGACGGACTGATGAATACATTGTCGAAAAATGAATAAATCAAGGAAAATACTATACCTCCAACAAAAGCAGCTTGCACTAGTTAAGGCGGCAAAATACAAGATACAAAAACCATCATTTTGGCGCGCAACATCGTTTCTGTTCAAGGTTAGTTTCGATGWTCCTCGTTTTTCATCACGCGCTATCAACTTGGCACGCAACAAAATCCCCTGTTGCCCGTTGAAGAAAGTTGTTGCGCAAAGTAGACTCTCGTTTTACTTTCAGATACAAATTTTGGCTTTGTTTCTTGATGTGCAACAAAATCAATTCAAATCAACYAATCAGCGTGTGAAATTTCTTTACCTCGCAACAAAAGATTTTAATTGTTGCGTGCCAAGTTGATCGCGCGCGATGAAAACGAGAAACATCGAACCTAAACTTGAACGGAAACAATTTTGTGCGTCAAGTTGATGGTTTTTGAAACTCGTATTTTGACGCCTTTAGAAAGAACGACTGCAGATAGAATATTAGCCACGCAGCTGATGGTTGTCACTAAGACACARGCAGATTTATTCTTTGGAGGTTAGGTCGCTGTGAACAGCCCGTATATGTAAATTAGGTTGAATTAAATACTGAGATCAGTAACACTAAACTCAAGTATTTCTAGGACATTCTCGCCTCCAAAGGTTCTAAAGCTCAAAGACTAAACGAAGCCATCATGTCGCTAGATTACGCCGCAGTCTCAAAACTACTGGAACAGGGAGCAGGTTTGTTGAGAGTGACTGAACTGAATGGTCTCCTTCACGGTTACCTGCGCCATGTTGAAAGGTAACCGTGCCTTTACATCGAAGCGACACAACCGTTGAGCGTGCAGTGATAGAAACCTGCGATTAATTGTCTGTAGGTGTGAAAGAAGGTTTCTATCATTGCACGCTCAACGGTCGTCTCGCTTCGATGGAAAGGCACGGCTACCTTTCAAGATGGCGCAGGTAACCGCGAAGAAGACTATTGCCACAATGATCGTAGTTCCTGGAGAATTGTACAAACATGCTTAGCTTCTGTGATCCAACTYAAAACCAGAAATGCGGAAGGCTTGTCCATGAAGACTCTTTGTTAAGAATCCATCCAGTCTCGCCCGCCACCCTTGGGAAGGTCCACCATCCATGGGAAGAAGGAACGTTTGTACTCCAAAGAGCTAATCCCATGCCGTTGCACTACAAGTATCAAAGATCAACTTGCAACCAAAAAACTTTGCGATCGTTCTTTTGTTTGACAAGTGATAGAAATTGCTCTGTGATTGGCTCCAAATCAAATTGGCAAATTCTCTTATTTAGAAGCGCGATCGGATGGATCTYCGATGCAAGTCGTACACGACTTTCAAAAATGGCGGTAATTCACGTTTGCCAATACTGGAGGAATAGTGACGAAGCATGGAAATGAGACCTCAAAGGCCTTCCATATAGAAATAACTACGAAGATCGCATGTAGGCAGTGTCCAAAAGTCTGAAAGATGTATTGGTATGTTATTTATAACAAAGCACTCTGGCAAGACACAAACGAAGTTTCCTATACAGAGGCTGGCCTTTGAGATCTCGTTTATGTGCTTCTTGTCCAGTGGCCTGGTCGGCGACCGTGACATATCACGCCATTTTTGAAAGTATTGGATAGTCTTCATCCACAATATGTTWAAAAATAATCGACCAGAGAAAAACTTATTATTTTTTCTTTCTGTATCAGGAGTCAATATTCCTAGTAGATTTGGCCGATTTCCACTACATAATGCAATACTAAAAGGAGATCATAGGATGGTAAAAATGATCCTCGAAGCAGGTGCACATGTTACTCAGAAAGACGACCGGGGTGATACTCCCCTTCATTATGCAATCAGGACTGGTAACGAGGACATAATAAAGGTATGCAATACTGTCCGAGTCTTTACAAAGCATTCACTGTCAATAGCCTCCTTCACGGCGTCCTGATCAACAATCTTGAAACGTAGCTGTACCTTTACATCGAAAAGAGACGAACGTTGAGCTGCAAACGTTTTTTTTTTTCTGAAATAGCATTACGTATTTAAATTATGGTCTACATTTGGTGAAACATATTTTGTTCATACGACCAAATATGGTATTGTTTGTACCGAAGCTAGACCACAATGCACCATGATTTTGTTGATTTCAGAAACAAAATATTAAAAAAAATAGTATGTCATCTGGTTTGTTTTTTCCTCAGCATTTATTGGCTATGTACAACGGGTCAATTTGGCTCAAAAAGTCACAATATAATGGTAATAAATAATATTAGTAGCAGTTCACTTGCGTGGAGTATATATCCAAAAATCAAGTTAAACTCCTAATTTAATTGTCTTCTCTACTATCACACCAGTCTTGACTATTTTCACGAACTTTATGTTTTCACAATGCGAATAGCATAATTTACATACTAGTGACTGTATTAGTGTTAAAAATAGAGGCTCAACGCYGTATTATACAGTCTATAAATGCCTTGTGCCCCCTAACCATCCCATGGTTTCTCTCTTATGAAAACAATAGAAGTCAAGATGGCGGCCTTATTGGTTGTGTAAAAGTGACAGTTATGGCTTCATTGAAATATTGAAATGAAAATATCGAGATTATATGACTTGATTGAATAAGATGCGGTATATAAATAATAGCGGCCCTACATGCCACCCAGGCGTAATWAGATTGGTGAATAAATAATAGAATATCGTTAGGTTCAACTGAATTCTAAACACTTGCATTTATCTATGACTGCGGAACARTTTTAAGCGAGACTGGCATAGTCAAAAAAAAAAAGTAAAAAGAAAAAGCATCTTTTTAGTTTAGTATTACGCCGCTATGGGTTTTCTAAGTGCGCGCTGTCTCGTCTAAAGTACAGAAATTCAAAGACGCTACGTCAGCGTGCACGAATCCTGTGTTTGTAGACGTTCCAACAAAATAGTAACCTTCTCAGTTTGCGCTGGTGTTTCATGAGGTGGGTTTCGATCAACATATTTGTCCAGACTCTGAAAACTGCGTAGGCGGCGACTGTACAAAATTGAACAAGTAGTCTTTAGGATTCACACAGAACAAACTGTTAGGCTATCCGAAAATGTGTTGCCCTATATTCATTTCAAATTAAGTCTCATCATTCAAAAACTTTGTCTGCCAAGAAAGGAAAAAGGGGGTTTCCGGTGCGGAACTTCTCGACTCTCCCCCTTCCCAGCATACGTCCCCGCTTCTTTGATGGATAAAGAATGAATAACGAATAAATTAAAGAGCATCATAAACATTTGAAGTATTTTGAAGAATGAAAAATGAATCATAAACTGTACTAGGTGCACGGTGCAACTATCAATTTGATACTAAAAACATTAGTTTATATGAATATATACAAAAGATACTACATTATTAATCTTCATTACTTAACGAGGAATCGCATAATCTTGTGGAGGACACACCATCGGCATTGAGGGATAGCTGTACCGTGGAATGGCATTGCAGTCGGTACCAGGGCACTCGCCACAAAGAGGCGGGCAAATAAATCTTGAGCCTGGGACCTCGGATGGAATCTCAACTCCAGGATAAAATGRCGGAACAGAAAAAGGCTGCAATGCTGAKAAATCAGTGGAAAATCTTGCTGTTTCYAAATTAGGAAATGATAGCATACTTGGATGAAGAGGTGGCTGGTAGCCATGAATACCAGGTTGGGGAAGACCGCTGGCTAATCGGTTCGCGAAAGCCAGTTTTGTGTAATACTGTGTTTCTTCGGTTCGTTTTCTTTTTCTCTTCATTCTTCGGTTCTGAAACCATGTTTTTACTTGTGTTTCGGTTATTCCAATTCTCACTGCTAGCAGATGACGGTCATTAGCCTCGAGATATTGCTTTCTCTCGAACATTCTTTCCATTTCAAGAACTTGGCCATTTGTAAAAGACGTTCGGTTCTTTCTTGTCGGTTGTAGTTTCGGTGAAAAACGAGGCATTGACTTTGGTGTGAGTGAGTCTRAAAACAAGTAAGAAATGTTTTTTTTAGATTAAAAAAAGAAAATGACCAARATAATTTATAATGTTCATAATGACACAAAATACACACACACAAAAAAAAAGCGGGCTCAAAAAAAGCGAACTCAAAAAGGAGAATTTTTGGGTTGTTGCCCGATTCTGCCTCGCTTTGGTGCAAAACCACAGGCTCCTCGCGTAATTGTTTTTTTAGATTTGAGAAAAGAGATAACAGATAATAAATAATCACTCTTAAAATTTACTGACTTTGAAAGTTGGGCTTCTTATGAGAGAAAAAAAAAATAGAGAGAGATGAACAGGGTTCTAACAAGAAGAAACAATAAAGTATGCATGGCAATTRTTTGGTCGGTTGAATGTGACTTGAAATAAGATCATTCTGTGCCTGAAAGAAAATAGGCTTTAAGCTTCATCAAGATTTCACCTCATTTAAGYCATTTCTTTATGCAATGGTTGGTTTAGAGTTGCTTCACTTTAAAAAAATAGAGAACTATATTAAGTTTGTGGTATTAAGTTTAAAATGCATTTATGGACTCGTAAGTGCGAGCTCCAAAAACGGACCCTCGATCATCGATCTATTCTATGGGGAGCACGACCATTTACGACTCAATTCTGTCAAATCTTAACTGTTAACAATATTTAATAACATACCTGTATCACATGAAGTATCACTTTCAGAGGAAGTTTGTGGGCTCGAGTGCTGGCTGGAAGATGCTTTTGAATTAGGAGAGCCTTCGCTTGAACTTGCTGGAGAGGTTTGACTGTACGGAACAGGCAACAAATCGTCAACGCTGAAAGGCGTAAAACGCTTAACCTCGCTAATGGAGCAAATATTTTGCAATTCCATTATGGGACTGTAGTGCTGCAGTGTTTGACAGTTTTTTGACATGGTATGCATCCAAACTCCTCTAGTTGGTCGTCCTTCTCGCACGATTATCCTTGCACACTGACAGTTAATTTGAATAATTAAACTACGTTGCTGGTCCTTTGAGACTTCGTCGGCACGCACGCACGCCCAAGACTTTAAAAAAGCCGCGCGCTATTAATTAGTCAGAAAT